GAGCGCAAGTTCCGCCGAGACTCCCTCTTCTGCCCAGATGAGCTGGACTCCCTCTTCTCCTACTTTGATGCAGGGGCTGCTGGGGCTGGTCCACGCAGTGAGTGCTGGGACAGATTCCTTTCCCATGCTCCCTGTGTCCCTCAAGAGCCACACCCCAGTTGAGGCTCCTCTGGAGTGTGGACAACGTGGATGACACCTGCTTAAGAACCTGAAGAAGATACTGGGACAGGGTGGTGATGCCACAGAAGGGTTAAGACTGGAAAAATATCCCAAGGGTCTAGAGGGCAGTTCTCAACCTGTGGGTCTTGACCCCTTTTGGGTTTGCATATCAGATATCCTTCTTATAAGATATTTACATTACAATGCATAACAGTAGCAAAATTACAATTATGAAATAGCAACAAGATAATTTTATGGTTGGGATCCCTATAGTATGAGGAATTGTATTAAAGGGTTGCAGCATTAGGAAGGTTGAGAACCACTGGGCTGGAGTTATCTTGACCACCAACCTAGGCCTGAGAACACAACTGTCAAGAGTACCATGTGGAAACCAGAAATGATGGCCTAAACCTATAACCCCAGCATGCACAGGCAGAGGCAGGAGGATTGTAATGCATTCAAGGCCATCCTATGCTACATAGTGAGTTCAAGGTCAGCCTGAGTACATTTGTAAGACTCAGGAAAAATAGTGTGAAGTGTGGGGTGTATGCACACAGATGCCTATGTAGGTAGGGAACAATTGTGTCCCTGCAGGAATGAGATTGAATGATGACAGCAGATGGCGCTGTAGTATTGGCCGTAAGCCAGGCTCTGCGGCTCCTTCCTTTGCTGCTTGGTCTGTGACTTCTAGACTTTAAAGCCTAGAGGGCTGGGAGGGGGCACTCTGGGTTGTACTGGGCATAGAGGGCTCCCCCTGTCCCTCCGAGCTATTGTTTGGTTTTCTGTCCTTTCCTTTCAGCCTGGGCACTATCCTCTGGTGCTCCCTAGTAAGGGCTAGTCCTGCTCCTGAAGGGGAGAATCCACTGAAGGGTGGGTCGGGCTCCAGCTTTCCTCTGGTGTTCTGGGACCCCCAGTGCAACAGATTCCCTTCCTGTGGTCCTGCAGGTCTAAGCAGTGACAGTGGTCTCGGAGGCAGCTCTGATGGCAGTTCAGATGTCCTGGCCTTCAGCACAGGTTCTGTGGTAGACAGTGTCACCGAGGAAGGTAGGTGTGTGCCTCCCTGCCTCCATGTAGCCCGTCACCTCAGCACCTTTGAGGGTCTCAGCTCCCTATTCTGCACCCTCCCACAGAGGGTGCTGAGTCCGAGGAGTCCAACAGTGAGGCAGATGGAGACTCAGAGGCCTGGAGCCTGGCAGATGTGCGTGAACTGCACCCTGGGCTACTGGCACACCAAGCAGCACGAACTCGTGATCTCCCTGCACTGGCTGCAGCACTGGCCCACGGAGCTGAAGTCAACTGGGCTGATGCAGCAGATGAGGGCAAGACGCCACTGGTACAGGCTGTGTTAGGGGTGAGCACAGATGGGGCATCTACACACGAGATTACATGCCTACATGTGCATTCTGTTGTTCTAGAGACAGGCTTGATCCTATATTGGGGGTGCTCATGGCAGGAGGTCAGGGTACATAGTCCCTGTCAGTGTTCTTTCCTGGTTCAGTGTGATTTCCCTGGATCCCTAGGGTTCCTTGATTGTGTGTGAGTTCCTTCTGCAAAATGGAGCTGATGTGAACCAAAGAGACAGCCTTGGCCGGGCACCCTTGCACCATGCTACACTCTTGGGCCGCACTGGGTGAGTTCCATGGGTCTCTCTCGTGCTACCGGTATCCCCTCGCCTTGGGGCCTTCTCAATAAGCTCCTCTACCCTCAGCCAGGTCTGTCTATTCCTGAAGCGGGGGGCTGACCAGCATGCCCTGGACCAGGAGCAGCAGGATCCGCTGACCATTGCAATTCAAGCAGCGAATGCTGACATTGTCACATTGTGAGTTGGGCAGGGCCCTGGGGATGTAGTTGCTGTCAAAGGGACACAGACTATGTGGGGACAGAGTCACCTCACACTGTTCCCCACCTCCAGACTCCGCCTGGCCCGCATGGCTGAGGAGATGAGAGAAGCTGAGGCGTCCCCTGGCCAGCCAGGCCCCCTGCCAGGAAGCAGTCCTACAGAGCTGCAGTACCGCAGGTGCATCCAGGAGTTCATTGGCCTCCACTTGGAGGAAAGCTAGGGCCTGGCAGGCCGGGCAGCTGAGGGACCCCTACCTTGACCCCAGCCTACCCGGCCCAGAAATCCTGCATGTCCCTGAAGACCCTAGCCCCTCATCTAGCCACAGCCCTGCCTGTGACAACTGTGGGCCCATCCCTACAGCCCAGTACCTTGGCATTTCTGGAGTCCCCACTTTCCTGCTCGTCCCTTCTTCTGGCTACTTTAATACTCAGCCAGAGGACAGGGACCCAAGCACTGAATTTTTTGAAGCCCCACATTTGGGGGATGGGGTGCTGCATCATCGGTTGCCCCTCATCTCACCTGGGGAACCTCTGTCTTCAGGTGGTCCTTTCTTCAGGGGTCTGGGCTGTCCATGGGACAAACCACTCTCGAGGTCCATGTCACCTTATACCCCTCTGCCCTCAGGGCCTATTTCACCTTGTGCCCCTATGTTTACTGCCCCAGAACACTGACCTGCTAGCTAGGTCCTTCCTACATACCCCCAGAGCCCTCCCTCCAGCCTGGGGCTGGTGGCTGGCCACCAGCACCTTCCCTGGCAGGAGCGGCAGCCCACCCAGGGAATCAACCTGAGTACCTCGCTCAGTGACCCCAGCATCCAGGTTGGGCTTTGACGGTGCTGGAAGGTGGAACTTTGGCCCAGGCCTTCTACCCAGGCTGGACGCAGGCGTCCCAAGGCCACGTGGCTGGCCACTTGGGTCCTGGTGCCTGAGGGCCTAACTCCATCCCTGCCTTCTCCAGAGGCACTGTCTGGTTTACCTGGGCCAGAGCCCATGCCTAACTAAAGCAACCGGCACTTTCCACCGTGTGCCCAATGTCCTTTGTTACTGACTGAGAGGATTTTCTACAGCGACCTCATTCTGACTTTGTCTGCGTCTCTTTTTCTGTGGACTCTCAAGGACCATCCTGATCCCAGCTCTTCCTGCTGCTGGAGAGGCCCACATAGATCTCCCCTGCCCCGCCCCCAAGCTTCACTCCTTGGGCTGGGCCTCTGATAGGTCCAGTGGTCCCTTCTTTGGGGGGCCCACCAATGCCTTCTATTTCCTTTTTTCTGGAGGAGTTCCAGGATAGAGGCTGGGCCCCTCTGCATACTATGGAGCCCTTGGCTAGGTCACTATGCAAATACTGCCCTGGGAGCATCCATGGGCAGTAAGGTAGGCACTGGATCAGGGCCTCTGACTCCCTTGCTTGATGGCTGCGGCCCTAAAGAGCAGAATCAGCTTCTTTCTCCTGCTTGAGCTCTGCCCACCACCTACCCTGCCACCTCCGGGCTGGCAGGATCCCACTTCCTTCCTGCTCTGATCACTCTCACTTAATAAACCTCTGCCGCTTGCATCCACTGCCTGCTCGTTGCTGTATCAAGCCTTGCTTGGCTCTTTCTCAGCTGAAGGTTTGTCTGGGAGCAGCCTGAAGCGGAGTCCCAATGCTGTTCCTTCCCAAGAGGATATAATCCAGCCACCAGAGGCCTGGTGCTTTGAGAAAAACTGACACTTGACATCCTTAGCCTCTGTTCCCTGGCCTTTCCTCTCTGTCCTTCTCTGAGTTAGACCGTATCCCTTGGCAGGAATAAGAATGACCACAGTGAGAATAGCTGGGGCTGGTGTCCCCGATCTGCCCCCAGTGTCCCTCACTGCAGTGTGTTTGCTGTGCTCTGTTTCAAGATGGCATTGAGTTACATTCTGAGGTTTGAAGCTCATCCTGTTGTAGGTGACTGGGGAGACACGTCTATGCATAAGACAGTAGAGGGAATGGCTGATGTTACTGTAGAACAAGCAACCCAAGGTCAGTGGGTGTCCTGGCTTGGATTTACCTTTATTCCTGCTTACTTAGAGGCTACCTTAAAACCAGTGTAGGCTCTGTCTGATATGCATATATACATACATATATACACACATTCATATACACATATGTGTTTATGTGTATACATATGTGTATGTATGCGTGTATATATGTATGTATATAGACATGTGTCAGAAACATGCACAAATGTGATAACCAAATAGACTCCACTGTGCAGAGAAGTACCTCTACACACATGCCCATATCCAGAGTCCAGGAGTCTAGAGAGGGGATATTACCCAGCCATACAGTCATCCTGTAGTGCTTTGGGGACTGATGTCTTGGAATCCCCTTCAACCCAAGAGGCCACTGCCTGGCGGGATAGGTGGGTAGAGAGTCCCTGGTGTGTTGGATATACTTGGTTTCTGGATGATCAGATGGTACTGCTTTCTGGGTCCTCAAATGGCTAGTCTGGTACACTCTGGGCAGCTAGGGAGCTCACTGCTACTACAGCTCCTAACATTAGCCTGAGGGATCAGATAGCTCTGCTGGGGTTACTTCAGTTGTCAAGATCTCAAGATAGTGCCAGGGATGGTGGTGCGTGCCTTTAATCCCAGAACTTGGGAGGCAGAGGTAGGAGAACCTTGGAGTTTGAGGCCAGTCTGGTCTACATATCTAGTTTCAGGTCTACACAGAGAAATTCTGTCTTAGAAATCAAACAGTCAGGCAGTGGTGGCACATTCCTTTAATCCTAGCACTTGGGAGGCAGAGGCAGGTGAATCTAGGGTTCGAGGCCAGCTTGGTCTATATGGAGGGAGCAAATATCAGGATAGCCAGGGCTACAGAGAAACCCTCTCTCGAAAAAACAAAATCTCAAGGTCCTGGAATTTAGCCCAATTCTTACACTGAAACTTCCTCCAGAGACCCTGAGAACATCTCTGTGGGGTTATCTCCATCTGGGCCTGACATCATCCCCTGAAGCTTGGGCTGGAGGTCTCTGGCTGGCCTCTGATATGGTGTGGGACTGCCCTGAAGCAGTATCAATTCCCAGCTAGGACAGCTTCCCGCAGCAGAGCCATTGAAAACCCAGTAGCAGCCGGGCAAGGGTAGAGACATCCAGTAGCAGCTCCAGAACAGACAAGATAGATGACCTAACCACAGTCTCCAGGGGCTGCCCATGGCACAAGGGCTGTGGAACCTGTGGGCAGGCGGGCATTAAGTCCAGCAGGGCCTCCTGTATTCCACCTATACACAGGAATGTGGAGGGGACTGCCTCTACCCAGCCATCTCAGGGAAGGTGAGAGTGGTTAGCTGTAGGCTCTGTTCCAAGCCCTCATCCTGTGTCTCTCTAACCACTCAGAGTATACTGTTGCTTCATCCACAATATGGTATTTCAGCTCCTGATAAGAGAATGTTCACCTTGGCCACACTGCTTCTAGGGTAGGGGCAGAGGTATAAGGAGTTGGCAGAAGCGAGGCAGGATGTGCCCCTGGTGCGCATCATCCTCCGGCTCTGGCTCTAGCCTAAGCTCCATGAGTCTTACTCTCTGAGCACAGCACAGGGACTTGCAGAGCTACAGGCTCCCTGCTCCAGCACCAGGGACACTGGCTAGTCCACCCCCACATGACTTGGCTGAAGGTTACTTGGAGGTTCCTGCAAAGAAGCTGTACAAAGACACCCTGGGAGGGACGGGACCAATGGTCATCCTGTAGGGCTTTGGGGAACTGATGCCTGACTCCCAGCCCCATTATCCTCTCTGGCTTGCAAGGCCTGGGGCAGTGGGAAACACAAGAAAACTGGTGAGTTGGGTTTCCAGGTCCTGGTAGGCTGGGTAGGAGCAGTGACCTGAGGGGTGGTTGACAGGACCCATTAGGAGTCACTGCCTTAGAGACCTCCAGCAATCCCAAAGGAGATGACAGGCTCACCCCAGGCTGGGTGTCATTTGTGGCTGCAGAGCTGGGATCTAGCTGGAGCAGATCTCCATCACAAGCTGCTGAAGCAGGCCACCAGGCATGTCTGAAGAGACAGCAAGGTCTTAAGCTGAGGGCCCTACCTACACATGGTTCAGGGACTCTCTTTGCCACCCATTCACCTGCATGGGGTTTGGGGTGTTATACAGCAGTTCAGTATCCATGCCCTTAGCACCGTCTGTGCAGAGGCCAAAGGGACTTCTGAGCCAATGCATCTTGTCTTGGAGAAAAGGAGTTTCGATTCTGCTCACTGCATCTTGAGACCCCTGCCTTACCTCAATGCCTGGGTTGGACAGGAAGCTCAATAACCCTGCTTACCTCTCAAATTCCAATGGCATTCTGTGTCCCTGATCAGAAACCGAAGCCACTACATTCTAGAAGGGTGTGTGTAGTTGTGAACCATGACCTTGATTCCAGTCTCCAAGGTCTGAAATCCTTCCAAGAAGGAGATGATCTTGCCTTTTATCCCCGAGGACTAGGCTGATCCCTGGGGAAGCCAAGAGAGGGATGTTGAGGACACCTGCCCAACTCACTTTATATTTACATCCAGATGTCTGCTGGGGATTAGCACTCACCATTTATGATGGCAGGGGCACTGCGACTCAGCACCCTTAAAGGTATAGCAATTACCATAGATCTGGTGGTGGGACTTCGGGAAGTGCCAGAAACCCAAGACCAGGCTTAGATACTTGTCACTTTCTACCCTGGTATGTGTGCCCTGAGGGGCCATGGCCTGTCTATTGTGCAATGACTGGTCTGTAGCCAGCCTTGGGCAGCTAACTCCTGGCCTTTTAACCAGATGGACCCCAGGATAAAGCCATTTTGCTGGTGGGATAGAGGGGAGCAGCCCACCAATTCTGCCCTGCTTACCCATCCCCGCCCTTTTCACTGTCATAGTTACAGAACAAGACAAAGTGATCACCAGGTCACTCCCAGGCACTAGGGAATAGGACCGAGATGTCCATGTAGCAGAAATGATAGCATTCCTGAGCAGCCTGTATACCTGAGGGGTAGGCGCAGTAGAAGCAGTTGTCACTGATACCTATCACACCGAGGGTAGGCAGGGTTAGGTGAGACACAGCCCACTGTTTCTCCCTGCTAAAAAAAAAACCTTTTGAAGCACAGCAGCATACCAATACCCTCACCTCCTTGAGTCTCAGAACTCACCAGTCTGAAGTCCACTTTGTACTGGATGTCCAGATGACTCAGATGCTGCAAATGAATCCCACGGTCCAGCTGGAAGTGGAGCTTATGGCTGAGGATTTTAGCAAAGAAGGCATCCCAGCCTTCATTAAAGTTGAATTTGTAGAGAGCATAGATATTCTCCCAGGCAAATGCATCACGTACTTTTAGATGTTGGTGCATGCATGACATTTGTTCTGGAGGCAGGGTAGATTGTTGTAGGGTTCCCCATGACATGGAACAGGATAATCCAGCATAAAGTGACCTCAGTGTCCCTGTGTGTTCAATGAAGACAGAAGTCTGTTTCCCTTCCAAAAAAAGAGAGATTTTCTAGAAGCTGGACCCGTCAACTCTCATAACTTCAGAGTTGAGGTCAAGTCCCCAGCCTGGCCGTTTCCAGGGTCGCATGTCCTCATGACAGGCTCATAGCCACTCCTTACCTGGAATTCTACTTGGCCCTAGTGTCTGGTTGTTCCTTTAGCAGTGACACTGAGAGATCCCAGAAGTCTTGACTAGGTACAGGGATTAGGAGAAATGACACCATGAGGTATCTTCTGAGACCAAACCCAGGAAGACATCCCAGGCTGAAATAAATGTTAGGGAGCCCATACCCAAGACTGACAATACCCAGACCTTCACCAATGTGGGTTCATGTCACATAGAGTGACAGACAGGGAGAGTTTGCACTCAGAGTGCATGGGCACTGCCATGGTGATTGGGTAGCTCCAATACTGCTTTAATAGAAGTACAAGCTGCCAGCAGAGCACCCCAGGGCACCCAGGAGTGATATCCCCAGGATACTGACTTAATTAGGTTCTGGCAGGAACAGACAAGACAGATAGTACTGTGGGCAGTGGCATTGGCACAGGAGAAAATGAAGAAGTACAGATCTTGAGAACCACGGGGAAGACCTGAATACAGATTTCAGAGGCTCTATGCATGGGAGGGGCTGAAATGCTAGCACTTGAAATTCATATGAAGTCATGCACATCTATGCATATACCTATGTGTCACACACACTTAGAGGCACGCCCAGTGTGTGCCAAGCTCTCAGTCAACAAGTGCTGTAGAGCAGAAAAGAAGCCAGAACCCTGTTCTGTGTGAGCTGTATGTGTGTAAGAATTGACCTTGCTGGCCTCTTTCTTTCCTGGTTTCATGCTTTTATGGTGTAGTCAATATGCATAATTCACTTCATGGTATGTTGCCCCTGAACACACAGTGATGCCAACTCACCGTGGGGGCTGGCCACCCCACACATTGTCTGGAATGTTATTTGAGGTTCACTCTAACAGTACTATACCCCAGCAGAAGAAACATGCTAGTTCCCTCTCAGTCTAGCAGATGTAAAAAATGACCTGCTCTGATTATCATGAAGGGTTGCCCATTCAACTCCAGGAGCTAGCACAGAGAGAAAAGCCCATGTCAAGCATCCCTTAGAACACTGAAGGAAGGCTCTTGTTCCACTCTTTCTCTGAGGCTGTGGTAGGCAGCTGAAGTGATAACAGCTCCAGCAAGTCATAGAACAGAAGGTGGCCTGGGGCTGGCTGGAAAGCCTTCTCTTTATAACAGGCCACTGGAAGTGGGCAATTGTCACCACTGGGTGACAAGGAACGGGCTCAGTTAGGGGTGGTGGTAGCCACACCTGTTCTGAGCATGGATGGGGGATTCCTGGGGAGGCAGAGAAGCAGGGTCCCTCTGCCTGGCAGAAGAGCCTGGGCTCCTTATCCTACTTTTGGTAATTCAGCTTGTCACTCACCAGCTTTGCAGACTTGCTCAAATTATTCAGCCTCTCTGAGCCCATTTCTTAAAGTGCAGAATGTACCTAAGGCATTTCTTTTAGCCTGAGGTTCAGAAGGGGCCCGAGTTAAGATGGCTGGTGAGGGACTCTCAGACTCAGCAGAGGCCCTATGGTGTCTTTCCACACCTGAGCAGTGTTCTTTGGGAGGAGTGGGAATGGACATTCAGCAGCAAGAGGAAGCCTGGGTTAAGTTGTCTGAACTAGAGCAACTCATATCTTCCAGTATTTCTGGGGCTGGAGAAAGGAAGAAAGGAAGGCAGATAGATAGATAGACAGACAGTGTAACATGAGGGCTGGCTTGTTGGGGTTTCTATCCTGCCCGGTACCCCACAGCCGGCAACTCCCAAGGAAAAATCACACACAGGACTCCATAAGATTATAAACTGATTGGCCCATTAGGTCAGGCTACTTATTAGTTCTTATGATTTATCTTAAGCCATTATTTTAATCTATATTAGCCATATGGCTTGGTACCTTTTTCAGCTGGGCAAGTTACATGCTGCCTCTTCGGTGGTCTGCGCAGGAGTGGCGAGGGAGCTTCCTGCTTCCCAGAATATTCCTGTTCTCATCGCCCCGCCTCTACTTCCTGTCTGGTTGACCCACCTATACTTCCCGCCTGGCCAATCAGCGTTTTATTAAAATACATGATTGACAGAATACAAACAATTCTCCCGCACCATTTCCCCCCCCTTTTTTTTTAAATAGGAAAATACCCATAGTCCATTTGTTGGGAATGTGGGCGTAGTATTTCAGGCAACTTCCTGCTGGTTGGGGGCGCTGATAATCTTATGGGGAACTAAAGAAAATTATCATCAAGTCCTGACTGGAGTATCCTGTGAGTCTTGATCACCGCAGGCAGCAATCCTGAATCTGTTTTGGATGTAGAACTCTGTATCCAGGCCATCTGTTCCTACTGGAGATTTTTCAGGTGGTCTCCCTTGGTCAAAGATGATTTTTCTTAACTCTGAATAAATCCAGAGCCTCTCATTTTCTGTGGAAACAAAGCAATATCTCTTCTCCAAAGTAACATACCTTTTGACTTCAGTTTTGAAGCCAAGGTATTTTCAAAATATCTATCTTGGATTAATTCAGCAGCATTTATAAGCAAATATCTTTTAGCAGCTGTTGCTATTTCCTCAGCAATCAAACAATTCAAAGAGAGCATAATAACATACAGTATCAAGATTCTCTGTGTATTTTCCATCTTTGTGCGTCTTTATTTTAACTTCTATTTCTTTTATTTTTACTTTTTCTTTTTGAGACAGGTTCTCTGTATATCTTTGTCCTGGAATAACTCTGTAGACCAGGCTGTCCTTGAACTCACAGAGTCCCACTGTCTCTGCCTCCCCAGTGCTGGGATTAAGGTGTGTGTTACCACACCTTGAACTCAGACATCTGTCTGTCTCTGCCTCCCAGGCATTGGGATTAAAGGCATGTACTATCACACCTTGAAGTCACAGAGGTCAATTTACCTCTGCCTCCCAACTGTTGGGATTACCACAACACCCAACTATTCTCTTTCTTTTTTTACTTTAAGAACTTTAACTTTTATCCTGCATATATTTTTAACACACTGTAAACCATTTAGAGGTTTTCTTCATCTTTGAATCTATCTTTACTGTATATCTCTCTTTTTTTGACCACACGAGTCTTTAATGGGTAGGACTAAAACCATAGCTTTGACAGTTAGATCCAGCCCATTCCTTAACTTTCCAGCCTCATGGCTGAGATACCAGCCAGAGCTGTGTTCACTGCCACAACTCTATGGCGTTTCAAGGTCTTTGCCAGCAAGCTGCAGCATTCTGCTCACAGACCACACTCAGTCGGACTGCCTGCCTGAAAGAGTCAGAGTTTGCCCTGGCAGGACGGCCCAGAAAGCCAGCATTTTAAAACAGCACAGCTTTTTTCCTGCTACTGCTGAAAACCCGAAAAGCATGCATTCAGCTTTTCATCAACACTGTTTAAGTGTTTCGTGGCAGGATCTCTTAATGAGCTGCAAAGTTTTGCAGCTAAAGCTGAGTTAGGAAGCCTCTCTTAGATGAGAGCATTTGCTTGCCTCTAGCAAGCAGAGCAGAACCGAGAAATTGCTGCTACCAAGAAACCATGATTTACTCTATTCTTTCCCAAGCTTTCTCAGGCTTTCTGTGGATTCAGTTATCCACGTCTGGGCGCCATATGTAACATGAGGGCTGGCTTGTTGGGGTTTCTGTCCCGCCTGGTACCCCACAACCAGCAATTCCCAAAGAAAATAACACGGAGTCTACATTAGGTTATAAACTGATTGGCCCATTAGCTCAGGCATCTTGTTAACCCTTGTAACTTATATTAACCCATTATTATTATCTATGGTAGCCATATGGCTTGGTACCTTTTTCAGCTGTCAGCTTACATGTTGCCTCTTCAGTGATCTGCGCAGGAATGGCAGAGGAACCTCCCTGCTTCCCAGAATTCTCCTGTTCTCATTGCATCACCTCTACTTCCTGTCTGGTTTTCCCGCCTATACTGCCTGCCTGGCCAATCAGCGTTTTATTAAAATATGATTGACAGAATACAGACAATTCTCCCGCATCATTTCCCTCTTTTTTTTTTTAAACAAATGAAAATACCCATAGTCCATTTGTTGGGAATGTGGGCGTAGTATTTCCTGCTGGTTGGGGGCGCTGATAATCTTATGGGGACCTAAAGAAAATTTAGAGTTATAATCAAGTCCTGACTGGAGTATCCTGGGAGTCTTGATCATCTCAGGCAGCAGTCTTGAATCTGTTCTGGATGTAGAATTCTGTCATCTGGGCCATCTGTTCCTGTCGGAGATTTCTCAGGTGGCCTTCCTTGATCATACTGGATTTTTCTTAACTCAGAATGAATCCACAACCTCTCATTTTCTGTGGAAACAAAAGCAAAATCTCTTCTCCAAAGTAACATACCTTTTGACTTCAGTTTTGAAGCCAAGGTATTTTCAAAATACCTATCTTGGGTTAGTTCAGTAGCATTTATAAACAAAAGTCTTTTAGCAACTATTACTGCTTGTTCAGAATTCAAATAATTCAAAGAGAGCATAATAGCATACAGTATCAAGATTCTCTGTGTATTTTCCATCTTTACGTAGCTTTATTTCAACATCTATTTCTTTTAATTTTACTTTTAACTTTCGGCTTTTTGAGACAGGTTCTCTGTATATATCTTTGTCCTGGAATAACTCTGTAGACCAGGCTGTCCTTGCCCCCCCCCTGCTGGGCTCAAACGTGTATACTACCACACCTTGAACTCACAGAGATCTGTCTGTCTCCCAGGCATTGGGATTAAAGGCGTGTGCTACCACACCTTGAAGTCACAGAGGTCAATCTCTACCTCTGTCCCTTGAAGTCACAGAGGTCAATATGCCTCTGCCTCCCAGGGATTAAAGGTGTGTACCACCACACCCTATTTCTCCCTTTATTTCTTTTTTATTTTTAATGACTTTAACCTCAGCCTGCATATATTTTTAACACATAGTAAACCATTTAGAGGTTTTCTTCGTCTTTGAACCTCTCTTTACTGTAACTCTCTTTCTTTTTCTGACCACATGAGTCTAAAACCATGGCTTTGACGGCTGGATCTAGGCCATTCCTTAGCTTTCCAGCCTCATGGCTGAGATACCAGCCAGAGCTGCAGTTCACTGCCACAACTCTATGGCGTTAAAAAATGCCCATAAAGTCGGCATTTTAAAATGGCACAGCTTTTTTTCCTGCTGTACAGCTGAAAACTGAAAAGCATGCGTTCAGCTTTTCATCAACACCATTTAAGTGTTTCGTGACAGGACCTCTTAAAAGAGCTTCAGGGTTTTGCAGCTAAAGCTAAGTCAGGAAGCCTCTCTTAGATGAGAGCACTTGCTTGCCTCTAGCAAGCAGAGCAGACCCGAGAAATTGCTGCTACCAAGAAAATATGCTTTACCCTATTCTTTCCCAAGCTTTCTCAGGCTTTCTGTGGATTCAGTTATCCACGTCTGGGCGCCATATGTAACATGACATGAGTGTAACCCTGGTTGTCTTGGACCTCACTCTGTAGACCAGGCTGGCCTGGAACTCAGATCTACCTGCCTCCGCCTCCCGAATGCTGGGATTAAAGGCAAACATCACTCTGCCTAGCACCAGCCCAGGAGTGACCCCACCCACAATGGCCTAGGCCCTCCCACATCAATCATAAATTAAGAAAATGCATGATAGGCTTGTCTACAAAACAACAAAAGTGGCTTAAATTACCTTGATTAGGGACCACAGAATCTTGGGGAAGGAAGAGGCACAGTCTTTGCTGATGCGTTTTCTGAGTATGACAGTGGGAGAAGCCGCTGATCTCCCAAAGCTAACTTGCCACAGTGGGCTGACCAACAGGACACTCCCCAGAGCTGCAGCAACCCAGATCACAACTCAGGTGGGTGGACTCATCTACCACCTGCCCTATGAATCAATGGCCACTGCTGGATTCATGGTGCTGAATCTCAGCCACCAACTGTCAATAATCAGTGAGCCCACTGCTGATGCCCAGAAGCAGTCAGGGTCATGGTGAAGGACAAGACCTTAAAGTTGAACAGCAGTTCTGCCCTACATATCTGGTTGGTCAGGCACTGCCAATGACTGCTTCTTCTTCGCACCCCAAACTTGCATCCCCGGAACAGCTTGAGGACACCCCAAGGACTGGACACTTAGTCCAGTTTTCAGCTGCTTCTCAAGTGACCAAAGAGGATGTGAGACCATCCGGGTCCTTTTCTCCAGATCCCAGCCCTTCCTTGCCCTGCAAGGTGGAGTCCCAACACTTGTCATATCCAGCTTGGTTTCCTGGAACCTACACACACTGAGTTCATAGGCAAATGGAATGGGAAGGTGCTGGGTCAAGAACATGGGATGTGTGTAACAAACCTAAGAACAAACTTGAGCATCCCAGGAATGCAAAGGTGAGGCAGGAAGGTGAGTACGATGGACTAGGGACATCTATAGTATGGACATCTATCAGCCTCTCTGACCAGCATCTCCAGCTGTCAGGATCCGAACTCGTACCCAGAACATCCTCACTGGCAGCTTCATGCCTCAGCCCCAGTCAGATAATCTGGCCAAGTGACCAAGCTGTGACACCTCCCCTCCCTGGGCCAGGAAGGAGACCGTGGGAGAGGAAAACACGTCTTAGAGAAATGTCCTTGAGCATAATGACGGTATTCATGAGCTGGATGGAAAGCTTGGTACTAAAACACAGGAACTATTTTTTACGAGGACGGCTGTCCTCAGGGCTAGGAGGCTGTCGCAGGGTTGGCTATGCCTATGACCGTGAGTTGCGCTGTACACAGGGATCTTCATGGCTAGAGGGGTAGCGAGTGCAAGCGGGATGACCTTTAAGCCCGGAACCCTCTCATTAAGAGCAGACCAGTGGATTCTCAGGCAGAAGGTGACCGGTGGCCGTCTCAGATCGTGGAGAACTCACGGGTCCCCGTCCCGGACTGGCCCGAGATTTGGGGAGATTCCTGCAGCCATTTATTGTTCCTGGGGTGCCAGCCAGACAGTATCCTGCCCAGGGTGCGTCCTGGAAGAGACAAGCAGCCAGCTCCTGCCTCTGAGACAGAAAGGAGCCACGTCCGTCCCCGCCCCCGCCCCCTCGCTCCGCCCCCGCCCCTCGCCCCGCCCCCGCCCCAGCTATTTCCCACTGCGCACGCGCCAGCAACCCTTTGCGCAGCGGCGGGACGTACTTACTCCAAGACCGAGCTGAGACACCCGGGACACCCGGGAACGGACAGTAGAGCCCTTCACCGAACTGCCTAGAGAAGCGCTTCCCCTCGCAAACGGCGCACCGGAAGCGGAAGCGGTGCCTCGGCCACCCCCCCCCCTCGAGCGGCCATCTTGGAAGCCGAGCGGCGGTAGCAGCCGAAAAGCTGCGGCAGGTACGGTGAGCCGAGTCCCGGCGCGGGTGCGGCTCCCAGAACGGGCCCCACTGTTCCGCACCCTGCTCTGGCGTCGACCACGGCGAAGCTGAACGCGGCGGCGGCCTCAGGGAGAGGTG